TTTGTCATCTGTGAGAGTGAATTTTATCTGTGTACTCTGTAACAAATAACTATATAGAAAAAAATCTGAAAATGATATTTCGCCATTTTTGTTTGTGTACTGGTTAGGAACTCGATCAAAAATTTGATAATTTTTTCTGTTTTTATACGTTATTTCTAATTTTATTTACATCAAATTAAATGTGAAGATATTTTCTTTAGGAAATATGTTTCATTACGACGATTCAAAAACGTTTACATATAATAATTTACCTCGAAATTCACTATACGCGATTATCGTTTATTGACTGTATTATATTGTTTAAAAAGTATTCCTATCAGCTATGTGTTAAATGGATGCTAAATGTAAAAGAATGCTTCAATATTGATAGCAATTTATAAACGAAATATCTGTTGAGATGTGTCTAGAAATTATTAATACTTATTTTTATTTATTTATTAAAATAATAAATAAATAAAAATAAGTATACATTTATCTATATTGAGTACTAGTTTTTCCCCGCGATCTCGCCCGCGTGGAATATGGATTTCATGGGTTTTAATTTTTTTGCGCGGAACCCTAATTCTTATTCTAAAACAAAAGTAGTTCAAGTTATTCCTTATATCATCAGCTATCTGCCAGTGAAAGTCCCGTCAAAATAGATCCAGATGTTTCGAAGATTAGCTGGAACAAACAGACAGACAGACCGACAGACAGACAAAAATAGTACTTTCATATGCATTTAATAAAAAGCTGTTATTTTAACATTACAAACAGACACTTCAATTTTATTTATTTGTAGATATAGATATAAGATATTATTCATATTGGTGTCATTTTAAAGGGAATATCATGTACTATTATAATAATAAAATAATTGTCTCCAGTATATATTATACTTTTCTTGTAAAACTCGAAATAAGTAACAAATAAATACGATTTATTTTTATATTCCCATATGCTTTATTTTCATCCTTTATTTTTTATTTGACCAATTTTCTTTTAACAAAATTAAATTCTGAATTCGTTGAGTTTTTTGAGAATATTTTTATTTGAATGTTAGGTAGGTACCTATTTAGTTTTTCGGTAGTAATCGTTTTTTTGCGACAGTCTCGCGCGGTCGTAAAAAAAGTTACTGCGCGGACAGATGGGACGAGAATCACTTGCGCGGCGTGGACGGTAGATAGGTAATCTACCTACTGTTATTACCTAGGTACCCACAACCTATACAACAAAATTTGGCAAACTGTCGCTGCGTCGTGGAAACTAAAATCTAAACTGCCTACCTACCTGCCTAAGTACGTCGGTACTAAGGAAACAGTCTTGACGGGTCACTTGTCTTGATAAAAACATGTGTTTACATCTAGTGATATTGTGTGTATATAAAACAAAGTAAGAAGACAGGTAAGTATTTTTGAAGACAATTTATAGGTAGGCGGAACTAATTACAATTATTATCTAAATATTATAAATGCGGAAGTTTGGATGGATAGATGTATGTTACTCAATCACAGCTGAAGGGATCTGGATGATATTTAGCTCAGAGATAGGTTACACCTGGTCTGGAATAACACATTTGATACCGTTTATTCAGGTATTTCGTTCCTGTGGGATAATTTTCGAGTTCACGCGTTTGAAGCCGCTGGCAACAGCTAGTACGGATATAAACTGCGATGACTGTTCCAGATCAAGCTTCGGCGTCGTGAACTCTTGAGTGATCGCTGCACGACCACCCGGGGAAAACAAAACATAATAAAATAAGCAATCTATATTAGGTATCTATAGAGCCATAGAGGTATAGTATAAAGCGATAACGCAGCACCTAATAATTTAGTACGAGTTTGTAGGTAGGTACTGCTGATTTCTCAGCAAGCGTCGAGCGGCACAGAATAGGGTGGTATGTATGTGTGCATCGTGTTCGTGTAACTTCGTTTTTGTTCTAACGGTATACAGTATTTTTCACAAATAGTGAGTTCGTTATAACGCGGGTTCGGTTAAATCTGCTTGAATTTGATTGGATTAACCTAATGACAATTAACTTAACTATAATTAATGAGTGATAAACGAGCGTAATTTCCTAGACTCTGAAGTTTCTGTGACGGCTTGCCCCTTCGATGGATCCCATACTGGAATAGAGGTGAAGCCTTGGGATCTGCTGTTCGGCAACCAGCGGGAAGTCAGGTTACATAATATAATACGTACTGAGCATAACACTATCACACACATATACTTACACCTGAATCTTCCTAGGTGTGACCCTACGTCGACGAAATAGGTAAGTCTTGTTTGGTTCCTTTTTAACCGCTATTGTCTCATATTCCACAAGCCATTTAGGCCGACATCCTGTTACTAGTCGAGTTGAACCCCTTGGTGGGCCCGGGTTCTACGACCTTTGCCCGGGTAACTAGAGGCCGTAACAATAGCAGAGTAAAAAATTATAGATTGTGGTGTTTGAAATTTGTAATCTATGAGAGTGAATTTTATCTGTGTACTCTGTAACAAATAACTATATAGAAAATAAAATGTGAAAATGACATTTCGCCATTTTTGTTTGTGTACTGGTTAGGAACTCGATCAAAAATTTGATCATTTTTCTGTTTTTATACGTTATTTCTAAAAAATGTGAAAATGACTATTCGCCATTTTTGTTTGTGTACTGGTTAGGAACTCGATCAAAAATTTGATAATTTCTCCGTTTTTATACGTTATTTATAATGTTACTTTACATCAAATTAATTGTGGAGATATTTTCTTTAGGAAATATGAATCATTACGACGATTCAAAAACGTTTACATATAATAATTTACCTCGAAATTGACTATACGCGATTATCGTTTATTGATTATATGTTGTTTAAAAAGTATTCTTATCAGTTTTTTTAAGCTATTGCATAGCTTCTATCGCGGGCCTTGAGCGCGGTGACCGAATCCAGAAATTCCGTAACGAATAAAACCTCACGCTCCCCACTACGACGGGCACGGAGGTGTGGCGTTGAAAGCCGAGCATCGTCTAACGTCGTTTCAGTTCGGCAAACTTCGGCACGGTGTTTGTGTGCGTGCGACTAGACGTATGCGTGTACACTAGCTGCTCATTCAATGATAAAAATTCCTGAATAACCTACATGTATTGTAAGATATTAAAAATATTTTAAACAATATTAACTTCTCATTTATTCAATAAGAGAAAAAAAAATGTTTTCTTATCGGTCACCACGCCCAATTAGTGTAACTTGATTTAATATCAAAGACTTAACTGCATAAATAAAATAAATAAATAATTATAATTGCATAAGTTGATAAAAAATGCTATGCAATAGCTTTACCGCGGCAGTCACCGAGTGCCACACGTATTTTTTCTTATTAATTGACATTTACTGTAGCATTCCATAAAATTAGTTTTTGTAAAATTGTTTATATTAATAGAACATTGCATATTATTAACCGGTGACCAGTCTATTTCATTCAGCATTCTTTGAAGTTTTTTGTTGTCATATAAAATAATATTTTCAAATTCATTCCGTGTGTACGAAACATGTAAAACGCATGTTAGCACGGTCATGCAATGATCGGCTAATACAGTACCAATAGCGCCCTAGTACTGGTCTAACGTACGCGATCGCACAAAGATATGATCTATACAACTTTTAGTTATTTTGTCTTTTCTTTTTTCTATTCTAGTGTTTAATGTTTATATTCATATCACCCAATATGATTAAGTTATGTTTTTTAGCGAAATTATCTTTTATATGTGACACATCTCCTCAATGAACAAGAAGTGTTCATATTTATAATTTCAAACTTATGGTTTTTACGTACATAAATAATTATCCCACCCCCCTTTCTTTTAGCTCTTAAGATACTATGCATTGAATAGCCATCGATATGAAACATTACAAGATAGTAGGTTATTAGATATGTTGGCTTCTGTTATGGCAATGCAGTCTAAATTAATTTTACTAGAATTTATGAATTCCTTTCGCATTGCAAAGTTTTTTATGATAGATCTTAAAAAAACTTTGCAAAGCGAAGGTTGATACGAATAAAAGTGAAACTTTGATTACCTTTAGGTATCATCATCATCATCATCATCACAGCCCTTCACAAGTCCACTGCTGAACATAGGCCTCCCCCAAGTAATGCCACAAAGCACGGTCCTGAGCCACCTGCATCCATCGACTTCCTGCATATCTTACCAGGTCGTCACTCCATCTAGTGGGGGGTCGCCCTACACTACGCCTACCGGTACGAGGCTGCCACTCGAGAACCTTTCTTCCCCATCGGTTATCGGTTCTTCGAGCTATATGGCCGGCCCATTGCCACTTCAGCTTACTAATCCGTTGGGCTATGTCGGTCAATCTGGTTTTACTGCGGATATCCTCATTTCTGAGTCTATCACGCAGAGAAACTCCGAGCATAGCCCTCTCCATAGCTCGCTGAGCGACCTTGAGCTTCCTCATACGGCCAGCAGTGAAGGACCACGTCTCTGATCCGTAAGTCATCACTGGCAACACGCACTGGTTGTACACTTTAGTTTTCAGAGATTGAGGTATACCTGACGAGAAGATATGTCGTAATTTCCCGAACGCTGCCCAGCCGAGTTGAATCCGTCGATTGACCTCTCGGTCGAAGTTGGACTTACCTAGTCGGACTATTTGTCCCAGGTAAACGTACTCGTCAACAACTTCGAGCATAGTGCTCCCAACAACTACCGGCATAGGTGTGACATGGACATTAAACATAATCTTTGTTTTGTCCATGTTCATCTTAAGACCTATCCGTTGGGAGGCACTATTGAGGTCATTGAGCATAGTGCTTAAGTCCTCCAGCGATTCTGCCATAAGGACTATATCGTCGGCAAATCGAAGGTGAGTGATGTACTCGCCTTTAGGTATAAGTTTGTAGAAATCATTTAAATTAATACAGTCGTTTATTTCTGAGACGTTCGTGAGAGAATCCATTACGTTTGTTATTACTGTAATAAAATATATAACTTATAAGAATAATTATGCTGCGTTTTACCCCTAAGTAACTACTTCCGTTTCTTCTGTATTTTGGGACTGAATAGTGTTTTTTTTTGTTAGTTTTTGGATGTCATCGATGCAACTAATGGTTATGATCTTGTCTTTGTCTCCTTTTTGCGCGAAAATGTTTCCATTTTTAAACCATATGTACTTGTATTCGGAACCTAATTGTTTTTTTGCATTCCACAAGATTATCTTATTTGCCTTTGTGAGTGCGCGTCTTAACATAATTCTATCTTTACCCTCATCAAATATCATTGGCGCATTTGGAAGAATATCATAAATTTTTAACATCTTCATTTTTGCGGCTTGGATCCATTTCTCACTCTCTGTTTCATTACTTAGTTCTAGTAGCAGATATCCATCCTTTCCTTTTCTTCCTTCTATCTGTTTTATGCTTTTAACTGAATTTGCATCCATATCTAATTTAGATGCTAATATTTTAGTTATTTGATGATGATTATTGTTACCTATACCCGATATACCAGTTAGTTCAATTTTGTTACTGTATTGTTTTTATTCCAATTCTCCTATTTTTTTGTTCTAAAACACTTATTCTTATTTCTAAAATATTATTTTTGTTGTTTAATGTTATATTCTTAGTTTCTAATTCTATAATTCTTCATTTTAGAAGATCCACATTGTCGAGCACCTCATGTAGTTTGTCGTGACAGTAACTTATAGAAGATTGGATTGGCTCCAATTCGCGCTTTATAGTGACACCAACTTCCTTTGAAATATCCTTCAGTAACTTTTTAATGTCTATTAATGGCTTATAATACGAATGATCTTGAGTTTGTTCATTTTGTTCTACTTTTTCTTCTTCTTCTGGTATAATATACGATTTTCTTACCGGTGTGAAACGTTGATAATCCTTGCAAGTCCATTCCAGGCTATCTACGTTGCGTAATGCTGCGATCTGTTTAGACGAAAGATTAGTACAGGCCTGGATCGCGTGCACAATTTTTTCGCATTTGCTGCATTCTAATCCAGGTGTTCTTTTAGCTTTCGGTTTTTCACAACGATCACATTTATTCATTGTAAAGTCGGTACAAGGATTTTTTTGTTCTATCCGCAAGTCCGATCGACTACACTCTATCGAGCAAACTTGATTGAATTGTACAGTGAGATTTCAACGTAATGTACGAAGACAATTACTATCCGAGACAACTGAAGGTGTTTAATACTATTTCCTATTTAGAGTGCAATGACGGTTGAAATGAATAAAAAAACACCCTGTAAAACAATAGGCGGTTAGGATAATTGATAAGAAAATTTTTTCGGGTGGATCGTTTATAAACAGTCTACATTCCTTGACTGAGGCCTTCCAGAATTGTGTGCCGATACAACAAAACGATAACAGGGATATAGAATTACAATCCATGGATATTGAAGACATCGGTAACATCCTACTACCACCATGCCTGCACGTATAATTCCTGCCATTTCCAGAGCGGTATCAACAATTATTAAGGCTAAATATAAGCGTGCTGCTTTTACTTCTCGTCACTGTATTTTTAAGTTATGTAAAAATTCGTCTAGACTCTTAATACCTAAACTACGAAAAGAGAAATGACTGATTAATCACTAATTTTATGTGCCACTGTGTGCTCGTATTTGTGAATACCACTTAAATGAACGTCACGATGTTTGAAATAATTTATACACATGTATTAACTGTTCAATTCCACTGCATCTCAAATAGACAACCTTTGTTCACTAATGTAATCTTGCTAATCAATATACATTTCTAATCAAACATATTAAAACAATGTGATGCAAAAAAAATGCATCGAATCCGAGACCTTACGATCAGCAGTCACATTTACGACCACCAGACCAATGAGGCAGTCGTACTTGATACCTCCCTATTGACGTCGATCGATCGATCGACTCATCATGGACGCATCAATTTTACTTTAGAACCTCGTCTACTTGCTATTTTGAAGAGTCATTACATACCTTTTCGCACGTAGACTTGACGACTTCCAGTTCCCGAACGTGATGTTACGAGTGTAAAGAGTGCATCGTGAGATATCTTTCATACTTTTTAATAAATTTATTTCGCAGCTTTGTTACATAACCTAGCTCGCACTAAAGTATTGTTTGTGAATATTCTTGGCTCTGTAAAACATAATGAAATATATTTCGAGAATTCAGATTATAAATTACAATAATTTAATTATCTAACAAAGTTTGATGATTAAATTATGAAAGATCAACCTTGTCGCAAATTCCAATTTTAATTAAGTTTCTAATAAAATTAGTCACAAATAACTCTAGACTATCTCGAAATCTTAGATATTCTTAATGTAGCAAAAACTTGAACTCTTTTTACAAAATATAAATAATGTAGTGTAATAAATATGTACATATTAAAATTCTGACACCTATCACCCAAAGGGGGTATACGGAGTTTTGGCTTGTAATTAACCCTGAATTCTATTAATCGTAAATGTGATTTTGTTAAAAAGCTGTTTATTAAAATGGTATGAGTTCTATTCTGACCTTTGTGTTAAGTTATAGCCTATATACATACTTCCCACGTGCATGGGCACAGTATATTTCACATTAATGTACTCGTAAGTACTAATCTCTCTGAATTTTTGGACGATAAATAGCAGTATAGACAGTGCTTTGTTTAAAAAAATCTGTGTGTAATGCATTTCGAATTACCTTTTCAAATTGAGATAAGTAAAAATATAACTCATCTCTACTTACGCTGGTTGTTCTAATTAAGTTTGTGCCAGCATCTGTTTTTATAACTTCGAAAAGGTCTGAGGTCCTGCGGTCCGAAGAGAGGAGAGGACGTGGTAATTCTCGATTCCAGTAACTTTTTCTATTACCGGGATGGCGACCATCCGTCCTAAGGAGGTGTCGGATTTATTGTCAACAAGTCGTTGTTTCGTTAACAACGTTAAATGTTGGGGGTTTCTCGACGAGAGTTGCGTGCCTTATACTCGGAATCTACAGACTGTATTCGGTGAAATTCATACATGTTTATCTCGGTGAGGAGGTGAAGGAAATGAATGGGGATATATTTAGAGCCATGTATTCCGCCTAAACTCACTATACGGTATTAATGGGAGACTTTAACTCAAAATTAGGCACAACAGAGAACGGTGAGCTCAAAGTAGAAAGTAGATAAAATTCGTTATAGGGCCATGGAACACAAGGGACCAGCAGCTGGCCGACTTTATGGAGAAAAAGGGACTCTTTATGATGACCTTTTTCTTCCAAACTTGGCCCCGCAAAAGTAACCTGGTCGAGCCCCGACGTTCACAAAAATAGATCGACTTCATTACGGCAGTAATCTTCGAATTTTGAGAGGCAACCTAAACGTTAATTCATTATACTTGACCTCTCCAGTTGGAATCCGTTTGGAACGAAGTCAACGCCTCTTCCTTCTTGTGCTCTAATCCAAAACCCCGAAAACTTTCAGCTCTAGTTACAAAACCATTTTTAGTGCCAAGAAGACTATGTAGTGTACAATATGAATGACAAGCTTGTGGAAACTGTCCATGTGGTCGGAGCTAAAGTATGTAAGACCCGTCGTAAAAGAGCACTAAACTATTCGATCACACTCTTTATCTTATGGCTGTTAGATGGGAGATAAAGCTGCCGCCTTTATCAGATTTAATAGAATACAGGTAACTGAACAGACAGATTTCCAAATGCATGAGGCACCTTCAATACAGATCGTATTGAAGAAGCGATCGAGTGGAACCAGGTCTCCAAAGTATTATAAACTGTCGAAACTGTGGCAGCATCGTTTCCGGGACAACTGAGATTTTGAGTGTAATTGAGAGGTCCTATGAGCAGCTATACACGTCATCGTTGGAGTCACACGCAAGTTTAAAATGGCAAGTCCCCGGGCAAGGGTAGAACTACAGCATAAATGTCAATAGGCCACAGTATCCACTTACCATCAGGTGGACTGTGCGCTCGTTTGTCACGCTTATTTTATTTAAAAAAAACATCTTGGAGTATTGTCGATGCAAAAAGTTATACAAATAACGTAGCTCAATAACTAAAGTTCTTAACAGTACCAACAAAGCGCAGCCTTTACAAAAGACGGCGCTGACTAACCACAACTTCTCGCAACAAAAGACTTTTACACCTATTTTCCTCCCTTATGTTGGAAATAAAAGTAAGGCCGATTTCATCTTAATTGAAAAAGAGGTTAACGTAGATGTTGGAATTAATATATTATTTGAATCTGTTAGTTGAACATTGTAATGTTTTTTTTTTGACATTTTGTTTTAATATTTCACATTTCTAATGGTAATAATGATTACCTCTAATTTATCATTAGAAGCTGTGGTAATTTGGATTAAGTATGAACACTAGCGCTACAACACTAGGATTTTCCTGTATCGTTTAGGCAGTTTACAAACACAAACATCCTGATCCGAAAAAATATTTGTAGATCATTGAAGTACTTGTTCCGTGCGAGATTCGAACTCTCGACCCTCAGCGCTGCAAACTCTTTGCTAAACAATTGCGCCTATGAGTCGTTAAATTTACATACATCTGACCACTATTTGCTGAATTTGTGTTTCTTGATTTGTTGTGTTGCATGTACACAAATTGACAAGAAAACAAACGACCAAACTGTACATGTTATATATTAGCCCGTCATCAGTACTCCTGTTATAGTTATAAAAAGCTTTACAATCTGGTTTTGAGGTATGCCTGACGAGAAGATGTGTGGTAAACTCCCAAACGCTGCCTAGCCAAGTTGAATCCGTCGATTGACCTCTCGGTCGAGGTTGGGTTTACTTAGTCGGACTATTTGTTGCAGGTAAACATACTCGTCAACAACTTTGAGCTTAGTGCTCCCAAAACTACCGACATGTCATACCTGACATGGACGTTACACATGACTTTTGTATTGTCCTTGTTCATCTTAAGTTCAGTTGGGAAACACAATTCAGGTGATTGAGCATAGTGCGTAGGTCCTAAAGCGATTCTGCCATAAGGACTATATCGTCCGCAAATCGTAGGTGAGCGATGTACTCGCCATTGACTTTAATACCGTATCCTTTTCAGTCCAGTAGCTTTAAAACGTTTTCCAATGTAGCGGTAAAGAATTTTGGGGATAATACGTCACCTTGTCTTACACCTCTCTGCCGTTGGATAGGTTTCGTACTCAGGTTCTGTTCTCGGATAGCCATCGTAGCAAATACAAATAGGCAACATAGTAAGAAAGTTTTTTTAACAAAAATTATCGATTCATACCTTGTATCGCTTCCAGGATGTTTCATTTTTATAATTGATTGTACAATATTTTCTGCATTATATAATATTACTCTGGAATATAATCTCGCTATGTATCTTCTTCTGGTTCTTACAAGGAAAGAGGTTCTTTTTCAAACCTGTGGTATAAGTAAATGATTCTTCTGTACTTGTGTTGTCATTAAACTCCTCCGAAATGGCTGGACCGATTTAAATAACTGTTTGTGTATATTTGAGTTTTTTTTTTTATATTTACAATTGGACAGTGTAGCTGGTGCTGTTTTCGAGATCCATAAACCACCAATGCGTCAAGTCAGAGCGGATGGATAGTATTGAATAAAAAATACTCTATTCTGTTATAGCCAGAGTTAAATTTCATTTTAGTTTATAGTACGACCGACACATCCATTTCTTCTAATTATCATTTACTAAATTTGTTTACAATGGTGTAAATATTAATGACCAAGGAGGCCTGTCTGTTACATAGCAACATTGAGCCATACAAAACTAGAGGAGCAAACCAAATTACCGCGCGTCTAAAAAAATGTAACCACTATCCAACCGCGAAGACGTAGCTTTGAAATTACTAAAAAAATTTAAATAAACATATATCCGTCTCACTTACACAAATTGTGAAAACAATACCGTCACTAAGATTAGATAAAGATAGACACACAAACATGCAATGGCGAGTTGGTGTGGCTTAACAACATACAACTTATGAAATTTTACACAAAATACTCAATAAAAAGGAGTTTTTTAAGATGCGGTTAAATGTTTTTATTTTAAAAAAGTTTATTT